CAAAAAAAGAATTTGTGAGCCACTGGATGGTATGGCTGTCAGAGCATGCTCAAGCAAGTTTGATTACAAATTAGTGTTAGATTAATCAAATGTAGTAACTTGGAACATTAATGTGTGTTTCCTGATATCTGATACTTTTTAAAATATAAGAAGAAATATGTTGCCTATTTTGTTTGCCTTTTTGAATTAGCTTCCAAAAGCAGATCACTGTTTACGTTTTAGTTTTAGGAGTAACTTCTCTGGGTTTTCTGTTACAATTGTCTTTCCTCACTTCTTTTTATTCCCTAGCTCATGTTTCTTTCCCTTTTGTTTTGATGGCTTTATTATAGCTATTTTTTAAAAATGCATATTAAACCTTTTTAAATGTTAATGAAAATGAATAATTAGTGGAATAAGATGATTATAGATTAACTTAATTTTATTTACTTTGCTAGGTAAAGATAGACCACCTCATTTTATGCTTCATGTCTGTGAAGTTCTTTCACATTTTCCATCTCTCGTTCTTTCTTGGCTACATTTCACATCTATCTTCCAGTTCACTGATTTTCTCTTCAGCTGTGTTATACTCTGTCCATTTAGGTTATAATTTGGTTATTATAGTTTTAAATTCTAGGTGTTCTGTTGGATTCTTTTCAAAATCCACTTTTTGATAGTCATTTCCTTTGAGATATTTTAAAATATTTGTTTCTTTAAACAAAGAAAACATACTTATTTTGTGTTCTGTACTTGTTTATTTTATTATCTGCAGTCTCTGAAGATCTGATTCTGATACTGTGTCTATCTCTCAACAATGGTGGCTCGTTTCCTTGTTCATTTTATGATTTTCTATTATATTTGTTGGGATTTTTGTCTATGGGAATTATTTGCTTCTGCTACGTAGTTGGGTCCATCTAGTCTTGGACCAGTTTAAACTGAATTCTCTTTTGGCATTTTTTAATCAAATAGATAATGCTAATACCAGTCTCCAAATCTGCATCAGGGCCAGATAGTGATACAGAATAATATCCTTTATCCAAAATGATTGGGACCACAAGTGTTTTGGATTTCTGATTTTTGGAGATTTTGGAATATTTGCCTTATTGAGCACCCCAAATGCAAAATTTTGAAATCCGAAATACTCCAATGAACATTTCCCTTGAGACATGTTGGTGATTAAACAATTTCAGATTTTGGAAAATTTCAAGTTTCAGATTTTCAGATTACTTTGTCTACTTTATTTCTTGAGGTATGGTCTGTAGAATTTTGCTGTGGAATGAGTTAGAGAATGTTGTACTAAAAAAGACAGCGAGGGGCTGCACGTTCTCCCCCAAGCTTGATCTGGTGCCCTGGATCCATTTCTGTCAGTTCAGTTGGTCATCAGACCCCAACAGCCAAAATGGTGGAGCAGACTGAGAGCAAGTGTTCTTTTCAGGAAGCCTTGGCTGCTGCCAGAGATAAACTTGAAGTAGACGACTGCTTAGCCATGTAGTGTGGGCCTTGCAAAACGATCAAGCCTTTCTTTCATTCCCTCTCTGAAAAGCATTACAATGTTGAAGTAGATGTGAATAACTATCAGGATGTTGCTTCAGAATGTGAAGTTAAATGCATGCCAACCTTCTAGTTTTTTTAAAAAAGGACAAAAGGTAGATGAATTTCCGAAGCTAGTCAGGAAAAGATTGAAGCCACCATTAATGAATTAGTCTAATCAGGTTTTCTGAAAATATAACCAGCCATTGGCTATTTAAAATTTGTAACTTTTTAATTTATAAAAACTGTTAAGTATGGAGACTGTATACCCAACTGCCATCTGATTATAAGTAACAATAAAATATCAGTTCTCCCCTTGAAAAAAAAGATAGTGGGCTCTAGCCTAATAATTTTGGGAAACATCAGGTTGAATGATGGGAAACAGGGTTTTTTCACTGCAGAACTTCTCATGATATCTAATATAAAATTTGAGTTTTGATGCTCAGTAGTTGTATGCAGTCAGCTGAATTTTTCTTGTCCCACCACTCTACTTCCCTTTTTGGGGATGTGCAGCATATATGTGGAACATCTCATGGGACCAGTAGAACATGCTTTGGCAGATAGAGGTAGACTTCCTGATACTCTTGGCTTCTGCTTACTGCCTTCTCACTGTTTCTCCCTCTGTGTTTGTGCCACTCTACTCCACGGGGGTGTGTGTGTGTGTGTGTGTGTGTCTGTCTGTCTGTCTGTCTGTCTGTCTGTCTTGTATTTCAGCTCCTAAAAGGAAGATGTGATTGTATCTGATAATTCTTATCCCCAGAGTACAACATTGTCAATGAATAGAGCTGCTGTATCAGGCCGTCTCATAGGCAGTTGGTCAGTATTCTTTGGATCAGGTACCTTGTTATGTCCAGACTGGTAGATACATAATGGTGTCTTTTTTTTTTTTTTTTTTTTGGCTTCCTACATATTTTCTGTTGCTGCCAGTCGAATATAAATTTCCTGAGACGATATATGACTTATTCATTTCCCCATTGTCTTAACATAGGAATTGATACATATTAGATACTGGGTCAATACATTAATACATTGAGTCTTTTAGCTTGACAAGCCCTTGACAAGTCAACTGAGAATGGGACAGGGTAGCCAGCAGTCATATTTCATGCTTGTCCATTATGGATGGTTTCATTTCTTCATCTAACTGTATCCTTCAGTATCTTTTGAATGGAAATTGACTCTGTCAGGGTCTATAAACCTCAAAATGAAAAGTAAGTTCTTTTGAGTATCTGTTTTCTCTCCTTCAAAAAATCATTTCCTCTTCTGAGATTCACTTCAGATATCATATTCTTGGTGAAGCTGTGGTTTCTCTCATGCGCAGTTACTCATTCCATTCTTGGTGTTCCCTTAGCACTTTGTACATACTAAATATCATCTTTCAACACGTGCCTCATGGTGGTGTTATCTTTTCATTTTTCCTGCCCGATTTTGAGTTCATCAAAAATGGAGATGCTGTATAGAAGCTTAAGTGATATGTGTGTGCATTCAGGATCTGATCAAGCATTTAAAATATCTATTTCTTGGAGATGGCAGGAGAGAATAGTAGAGAAGCAATTTGAGCATGTAGATGTTTTGGTGTTTATTAGCTGTGGGAGTGAAAGAGCAGCTGGCATCAGAATTTAGCAATGGTTGATTGAGGCACTTTGGTACCCTGACCTATCCTATATCTCACTGGGTTAGTTTGATTCTCATGTTGAGCTGTGAAGGTAGCTATTATCCCCATTTATAGATAGGGAGCCTAGTTGATTTCCCTGTTGTCACACTTGTCCAGTAATAGTAAATGCTTACAAAATGTCAAATGATGGAGGAACTGGGTCTGCCTTCAGCCCCCATGCTGGTACCTGTTATACAGCCAGCATACTAACACCAAAGTGTGACTGTGAGCTTCATGGATGTTTCCTCTTAATATTTGGGGGGAATTCTGTCCATGAGAACATGTTTCTATTTTTGAAGTGGAAATCAGTGAGAAAGTATGATTTATTAATAAAAATTGACTTAAAGCCAGTGTTAGATGTTTTCTCTTTGAACTGAGGTGTGTATTTATAGATATCAGTTGTCTTAAATATTGTTTTTAATTTCAAATAGCATCATAATCAATTGTCATATATTATAACTGATTTAGTACTTACCATACCCTTTGTAATAGGTTCTATTATCCTCATTTCACACATGTACAAACTAAGGCAAACAAAAGTTAAGTGTCTTGCACACAGCTTGTGAGTAATGGAAATTTATTTAGAACCTTGGTATTTGGCATACAGGGTACCCAATATTCTCATAAGCTACACTGTGTATACCTTTAATATATAGACATACAAGCACATTTGTATCTTAAATGTATTAATACTTAGTAATTTAATTGGATATTAAATCCTGATTGTGAATCCATGGTGATATATATACCATATTGCTTATTATAGTGAAATAATATATCTGTGGGTTTCTTCTCCCCTTTACAATTTGATGCAATTTTATTCTGTTTAGAAATGTTGCTATAAAAGACTTAATATGTACCAGATTATTCTCCTCAAGATATACGTGTGAGGAACAATAATTTTCACATAGTGGATGAACTAACAATTACACAATTTTGATAGAATTCATTTTGAGTTTGGAAAAGTCTGATAGCTTGTTCTTTTTTCACTAGCAGTCTAGTGGTGGCTCATATCAGTGCATCTGGAGAGGAGGCGTGTGTCTGACCTGACCTCACAGTTGGGGTGTCCCAGGGGTATGCATCTTAATTGGAAATGAGTCACCACTTTGATTATGTTTTGCCATTAATTGAACAATGAGCTTTTCTTCTATGGCTGTCAAAAGGCTTTTACATCTCTGTTCACAGAAGCTTCTTAAATGAAAAAAAAAAATCTATTCAAGGCAACAATATGTTAAATCCTTAGAGGCAGTTGACTTATTGTCCAGTTCTATTATCTTGTATTTTAAAAATGTATCCCAAAGAATGAATACCATAGCGTTCTCTAGAGAATTGTAAATAAAAGTATAGCTTGTATTGAAAAAAATTCCATTCTATAGTCATCATGAAACAAAAATCAAACATCAGACTAAAAAATGATGGGATAAATTATGTTAGGATATGTTGAATAATTTCAGTTATTCAATACTGAATGATTTCCCCTGGGAGTATACCTTGTAGATATGTTATGAAACACTGAAGCAGTCTGAACATATTTTTGTACTATTTTTAAAATAAGTATATGAACTACTAGCATTTTGCCTTTTTATTACTTTATATATTTACATAGAATATAAATAAAGCAGAGGGCATTTGACTATGATTTCATTTTAGATTTTATGCTTTGTGTGTGTGTGTGTGAAGTGCAAGGACTAACATGAAAAAGATTATGAAACATTTTCATATTAGAAAAGAAATATTTTATGGTAATTTACAGTAAATCATGTATCTGATATGCTGTCCTTTACTTACAGTATTTATGGAATCTTTAGTGCTTGAAAAGTAAAAAATTTTTTTTTCCCTCCAGAAACATGCTAAGGGACAAGTGTTATTTGACAAAGTATGTGAACACCTCAATCTCTTGGAGAAGGACTACTTTGGACTTATGTTCCAGGAAAATCCTGAGCAGAAAGTAAGTGATTTCAAGTTTATTTGTGTCTTTTTAGAACATATTATATATTTTTTTCTTAACCACCGTATCTCAGTATAAAATTTAACTTTAAAATGACTTATGTGTTAAAACTTCACTATAGGAATTTGGTAAATTGAAAAATTATCTTGTGTAGAGAAAATGACCTATAACTTTTTGGCATTCCGTGTGTGTGTGTGTGTGTGTGTGTGTGTGTGTGTGTATTTTCCACTTATATCATGAACAGACAGAATGTTTTCAATCGAAAATTGGTGTTCTGGCATAAAGACAACACAAACTTTTAAAAATGGTGTTATCTCAGTCACTTTTGGTTCTCAATCACTCAGTCTGGCCTTTTGGTACTAAGGATAGCTGGTCAAATCAGCTCACATTGTGTAGTCACCTGTGCGCCACTAGGTATTCCGCATGCCTGGAAAGCAGGGAAGGAGACACATTGGAAGGATTCTGTCTGAGGATCCCCAGAGCATGTGGGTCACAGCGAAAGAGATTACTGTTCAAGATCTAACATTCAAATCACAGTCAGTAGAATAGAACAGTCAATAGAGGAACATGAGTGTGAATTTTATTTGCCTACATGGCATCATTGTATTAACATGTCCCACTAATGAAATACAGGATACTAAAGGTGATAATTATAGATACATATTCTCAACTTGCTTACTTTTAAATTCTTGATATCTAGTTTGTGGTTTAATTCCATGTTTAGACTAAAGACAATTTTAAATTGCATGCCTGCCTGCTGACTAGTATGCAAGTATTCTTATTAGATGTGTGTTTAGAATACTCTTCTCAGAAACAATAACATATGTGACTAAATAAACTAGGCATTTTTTAAGGCTATAAATTACAAGGTGGATTTAATAATGTTTCCAAGCATGTGCTCTTCTGTTGGCCTTCAAAGCTGCCAAAAAGAATGTGGTGGAGATTTGACTATTGTTACCTATTTTTTTTTGAGATTACATATTGGTAGGTTCATGTGAGCATTTAATCTTTGTAAAATAGGGACACAATTTAGTATGTTGTAAAATTTGTAGACTAATGTGTTCTGTTAGTAGAAATAGGATATACTACATTAAGAAATCTAGTATTTCTGAAGCACTAGTTTTGCATAAGAAAGAGTGGTATTTAGATAGTAGGATTTACTATTTTTTATTTTGATAACTCCCAATGTATGTGTCTAATTCATATCCTAAACATCTGAATCTCAGACCCATCTCCTTAACAGCCTGCTGTAGAAGTACATAGGCAATTTCTTTTGTCTGTTATCTGAACATTAAGTACAAACCTTATTTATGTATTACTCTTTCTCCCTATTACTCTATGAATTCCTTGAGGGTAGAGACCATACCTTATTTATCTTTGTGGCCTCATTATATCTAGACATTAACTAATGTTTGTTGCCTGTGTACCATCTCACACCCATAAGGATGGCCACTGTCATAAAATCAAAAAATAACAAGTATCAGTGAGGATGTGAAGAAATTGGAACCTTTGTGCACTATGGGTGGGCTGTAAAATGGTACAGTTGCTATGGAAAACAGTATGGCAGCTCTACAAAAAATTAAAAGTAGAACTAGTATATGATATAGCAATCTCCCTTCTGGGTATATATCCAAAGTAACTGAGAGCAAGATCTTAAAGAGATATTTGGACACTCAATGATCATTGCAGCGTTATTCACAATGGCCAAGAGGTACAAGTGAACTAACTATCTATCAATGGATGAATGGGATAAAGAAAATGTGGTTTATAAATATAATGGAATATTATTCAGCCTTAAAAAAGAAGGAACTCTTGTCAGATGCTATAGCATGGAAGAACCTAGCAGACGTTATGTTAAGTGATATAAGCTAATCACTAAAACACAAGAACTGTATGATTCTACTTATTGAGGCATCTAATGAGTCATACTTGTGGTAACAGTAGAATTGTGGTTGCCTGGGGCTTAGGGAAGGGGACATGGAGAATTGTTATTTAGTGGGTTTCAGTTTTGCAAGATGAAAAAGTTTTAGGGATCTGTCGTACAATAATGGGAACATAGCACTACTGAACTGGATGGTAACACATGGTTAAAATGGCAGATTTTTTTTTTTTTTGAGACAGAGTCTCGCTTTGTTGCCCAGGCTAGAGTGAGTGCCATGGCGTCAGCCTAGCTCACAGCAACCTCAAACTCCTGGCTCAAGCGATCCTCCTGCCTCAGCCTCCCAAGTAGCTGGGACTACAGGCATTCGCCACCATGCCCGGCTAATTTTTTGTATATATATTAGTTGGCCAATTAATTTCCTTCTATTTTATAGTAGAGACGGGGTCTCGCTCTTGCTCAGGCTGGTTTCGAACTCCTGACCTCGAGCAATCCGCCCGCCTCGGCCTCCCAGAGAGCTAGGATTACAGGCGTGAGCCACTGCGCCCGGCCAAAATGGCAGATTTTATGTTATTTTTTTATTTTTTATTTTTTGCCACAATTAAAAAAAAAATACTACCTATGTGCAAAGCAGTATGCTAACTGCTGAGAATCTAACAGTAAGCAATGAAGATATAGACCCTGGCCTCACGGTTGCCTCTGCATATGTTCTAGTCGAGGAGACAGAGTGAAAAAACTTATTGCCCATTCATGAAATTTTGATTACTGTTCTGTAGGAAAAAGGGCACTAACCAGTAAGACTCTTCTTAGACGGGAATGTTGCCTAAGCAGAGACTTAAAGTGTGAGTGGGCTTAGGGCCTCATGTCTGTACCTCCCATGTTTCATCACCCAGCCTGAGGCAGGAGCAGCTGTCTACTTGAAAATTGAAAAGAAGCCTGCTGCAGTTAGTGCGGGGAGGATGAGATTAGTTAGGGGAGGGCCGAGTGTTAACGGGAGTCAGATCATGTGGGGCCGTCTAGGCTATATATTAAAGCTTGGGTAATTTAGTTTTTCCTAAGAAAAATGGTCATCCATTGATGGGCTGAAGCAAGGATGTGAGATGACCAGTTTAGCCTTTAAAAAGGTCACTTTGGCTAATAGTAGGAAAAGGATGAGAAGGGACTTGAGCAGGGGTGCTCACTCGAAGCACAGAGGTGGCTTTGATTAAGGTTGTGGCACTGTAAATAAAAAAAAAATGAATAAGAGAGACTTAGGAAAGAGACAGAATCAATCTGATGACTGACTAGGTATGAGGGAGAGATGGCAAATACCAAGAGTAAGTAAAGCTTGGTTTCTGGATACATGGAGGTGTTCAGTGAGGGGAGAAGGAGGACTTGACGGGAGGGGAAAGGGAATATCATGAGTATAGTTTCAGACATGTTAAATTTTAGGTCAGATATCTTCTGGAAAGAACAACTAAATAAATGAATTTAATATTAGATGTGTCTTAAAGAATGGCAGCTAGCGTGGAAAATACTCCAGGGATAATCTGTCTCAACAGTACATAGTACAGGAGTTGGTTTTCTTTCTTGATGTGGAATATCGTAATATATGTTGAGTTGAGGCTTGTGACCTGGCATAGTTATTGATAACTTACCTCTTTTTAAAAGAACCAGAGGTGGCTTTTACCCCAAAAATATTCCAAGTAAAGTAGAAATAGCTGTTAATAGCTGATCATTCTCACTATGTAGGAGGCACAGTTCTTAGCACCTTTTATATATTGTCTCATAGAGTTTTCAGAATAAGCCTTCAAGGTAGAGATTGTCAGCCACACTTTATAAACATAGAAATTTGAGGCATAGAGAAGTTAAATAATTAACCCAAGGTCCTCAGGGCAATAAATGTTGTAGATAAGGTTCAAATTCAGGCAAAACTGGTAGAAAAAATAGACTTTAGATTTTAGGGAAAATGCAACACTTTTGAACTTTCTGTCAGTCAAGGTAAAAATGTACACACTGTTTCATAGCTATCATAACTCAAAAAATATACTATCTTTCCTCAGAGGACTTCTTCATGTTATCAAATTCTGGAAGTTATCTTGCAAGACTTTACATATAGGGTGTTGAAGGATATTGTGGGCTGAGTTCCTAATATGAGTTTCACAGTTGATGTTTCTATTACGGCATCAATAAATTTGGGGGCATGAGCTAACTTATTGATGGTGATTCTGTGACAGTCTGTGCCAGTGCTGCTCAAAAGGGACTTCTTTCTTTGTGTCATAATTACTTGAGAGACATATTTTTCAACTAGGAATCTTAGTTATTAGGAATCTTACTCCTACCTCCATTCTTCTCCATAACACCCCACCCCCCCTAAATGCACAAATACACATTAATGCTCATATTTCCTGGGCATGCCATGATTCCTCCCTTCCCAGTTAAAAAATAGTCCCGTCACTGTTTAATTTGCACATGTGGTGCTGAAGGATGTTATGGTTTATGTTACCAGGAGGGATGTGGGATGTCATGTCCCTCAGGTACATTGGAGCAGAAAACAGATTAATCATTTGGTCAGGCTAATATTATCAAGTGTATAGCCTTCTAGTAATCTAACTCAATTCAATGATAGGTCTTAATATACCCTCTCCTAAATACCAGCTGGATAATCATTAGGGACTAGACAGGAGATACTTGTAAGTTTTATATCTGACAAGGACCTGTGGTATGAATATCTATAAATTTGGGTAATCAGATGACAGTTTAGTGTTGATATTCTATTATAGCCACTGAGAATTATGATCAATATTCTGGATGTGAGCAGGGAAGGGGCATTCTGCCCAGAAGAGAGGTAATGGCTCCAGCATGAGCAATCATGATGTGGATGAGGTATTTCAAGGTGCCTGGCAGGGCTGGAGGGGGCAGTTCCATCATCTCCATGTAGGAAAGACCTATGAGCCGCAGGCACATTGGAAGGAGGGGTTGGGGACTGGTCTTAACGCTGTGTTTTCTCAGCAAGTGCTCTGTTTCAGCTGGGATCATGGGTTGATTTAGGGTGACTGGGGGGGGGTACTGATGGGAAAGCAGCTGGAAAGATAGGCAAAGATCATTTTTTGGAAGATCTTGTATCTCATGCTAGGAAATC